AATGAGGTCCGGAGCTCTCCTCCGTGACTTGTTTATAAATGAGGTCCTGAGCTCTCCTCCGTGACCTGTTTTGTTGACGTTCCTTCCTTAGCAAAAACAGCCTCCGGCTTCTTTTTGACTCTTTTCTCAAAAGATTAATTGCCAATGGGCTTACAGTGGCCCATAGTCAACTATTATCGTTCTAGCCCATTAGTCTCAGCTAGCGGGCCATATTTGGGCCCAACAGTATCCCAATCCTTCAGCCTAGGCTAGCATTCTCTTTAATCTGAAACCTAAATCAGTTCGTGTTACTTGCTCTCTATGCTTTCTTAGTTTTAAAACCCCCCAATGTTTTAGCTTAATATTGATCCCATAAAAATAACGTGTAATAGTTGCTCTCTGTGGATTCGATCCTCAAGTACTACATTGAACCTCTTATTTGAGAGAGTAGTTTGAAGGTTAATTTGAGCATATCACTAGTATGTAAGAGCATAAAGTAAAGAGACACATAGATTTGTTAACGAAGTTCGTTTCTTACATCCCCGAGACCACGTCCAGAACTCATTCACTAGAAAATGCCGCAATAAACCATTGCTATATGGTATCCATCACACACCCGTGAGTAACACTCTAATCTAGAATTACAATGAAGCAGAACTACTACTTAATTCTGTAACAAGTATAGTTTTCTATAACAAAACTACCAACATATCTCTCCATCTGTCTGGTAGAACGACGTCACACACATCCATGTGCATCTTCAATAAAACTTAGACGTGTAACCGTTTCATGTCACCATCTTGTTCTCTTTATACTCAAAGGGCATGTTTCCCTAAATCTCACCGCCGTATGCTATCGCATGTGGTTTATTTCCTAAATTTTAGCATTACAAATCTTCTAATTTTGTCAACCAAACATATGGAAATATTCCACTTCATCGCGTCTTGACGTTTCCTTTTTATTCTCCGAATTGTGTGTCACATATCATTCTCCATGTGTAACACACATACACGAACCAAAGCTCCACCACTACAATAACTGATCAAGCTCTAAATTCTTGAGCTTACATTCTCCCCTTTTTCACTGAGTTTTACAACTCAAGCTCACTAATCTTTAAACACACTATGCATCTTAAACTCCCTCTGAATCAAGTACAATCTCCCCTTGCTTGAATGGAAAAATTTGTGAAAAAAATCAATGATACTGTTGGATAAGAATCAAAAGTCACCAGATCCACCACACTAAAATACAAGAGCATTACTGTCACATTGTATCTATTCTTGCCATTTTAAGCGTAAGTTACACATACCAGAGAACATCACTCCTTTCCCATGTTTTGCAGTCCATCTTGAAAACCACAAACTCCAACACTCCTCAAGAGTTATTCATCAAGACCCTAGCTGGTTCCACCTTTGACTCTAACAATAGAGAATCCACAAACTCCAACGCTTCTCTCGATATCTTCACGTTGATTATCTCAATACAATCACGAACATGACTATTCTCACCCTCTTCAACTTTTCAGCTAGCCACAAATACCATATCCAGAAGCTACCCGAAATAATATCCAATCTGATATGAATCTCTAGCGGACACCCGCTCTGATACCAATTGAAGAACAGATTCATGGCTAGTATATCTATTTGCATGCAATTGTGTTCATGTGCTAGTATGTAAGAGCATAAAGTAAAGAGACACAGAGATTTGTTAACGAGGTTCATTTCCTACATCCCCGGAACCACGTCCAGAACTCATTCACTAGAAAAGACCGCAATAAACCATTGCTATATGGTATCCAACACACACTGGTGCATACCACTCTAATATAGAATTACAATGAAGAGGAACTACTACTTAATGTCTTCTCTGACAAGTATAGTTTTCTATAACAAAACTACCAACAGATGTCTCCATCTGTCTGGTAGGACGACGTCACACACATCCATGTACATCTTCAATAAACTCTAGACGTGTAATCGCTTCATGTCACCGTCTTGTTCTCTTTATACTCCAAGGACATGTTTCTCTAAATCCCACCGTCGTATGTTATCGCATGTGGTTTATTTCCTAAGTTAGCATCACAAATCTTCTAATTTTGTCAACCAAACATATGTAAATATTCCACTTTATCACGTGTTGACGCTTCCTTTTTATTCTCTGAATCGTGTGTCACATATCATTCTCCATGTGTAACACACATACATGAACCAAAACTCCACCATTACAATAATTTATCAAGCTCTAAATTTTTGAGCTTAAACCAATTTTAAGGGCTCAGCAGGTAGTAGTTTGAGGGAGAATATTTTTGGCTACTTGGATCGATCTTTTTGAGGATGGAAGTTTGTTTGGTTTGCAGCTTTTAAATTTTTTATCTTTACATCTTGGGCTTTGTGCTTTGGACTTCGTTTGTAAAAGGTTGGATGAAATAAAAGTATTAAATAAAAAAAAATATATATATATATATATATATTTGTTAATGAATAACTCAGCAATAGGGGTGGTGGCGCATACGGCTGGGCAATCGAGGTTTCAATCGGGTTTCGGTTCCGGTTTATTCGGGTTTCGGGTTTTCTGGTTTTCGGGTTCATGAATTTCAGCCTCATTCGGATATTATAAAAATTTGGATCAGATTCGGTTCGGATTTAGTCGGTTCGGTTTGGATTTAGTCAGTTCGGTTCGGGATTAGTAACATGTCAAAGATTCGGTTGAACCCAAAATAGTTTCGGTTTTGGATACTAATCGGTTATCGTTTCTGAAAATACCAAATCATACTCAATTATACTCACTACATTTTCAATCATTTTATTAAATTTGTGTATTTAGCTTCTACAAAACATATTGTTCTCCTTTAAAATAATATTGTGAAACTCGTCTATCAACCATATAAGATTTTTCATTAAACTATATGTGACAACACTAAAAATATCATGATTAATGACAAACCAAATTCTTATATGAACGAAAATCATATATAATGAAACATAAAAAGTTAAAGTTAACAACTAACAATTCTATAAACGAAAGAAGTACTATTTAAACTTAAAAACAACATTATTTTAACTTTAAAACAAATTTATACGTAACTTAACTTCAAATGTAATGTCAATCATAAACATTAATATTCACTAAAGAACACTATATATTAGAGTAAATATTTGAGTTAATTATTCATATCATAACTAATTATTGTAGGTACTCAATAATATATTAATGTGTTTTGGAAACATATTAGAAATTTAGACTGAGTATGATACAAGTTTTTTTGGAATTTTAAAGTTTCGGGTTCTTTCAGATATTCATTTAAGTTCGGGTTCGGTTCAGTTAAAACCTGTAACCCAAAATAACGCAAAGCAAGATCCATTCGGTACTTATGCCAGGTTTGGATCGGGTCGGCTTCCTTTTTATCGAGTCAGATTCGGTTCGAATTTCCGGATTCGGTTTTTTTGCCCAGCCCTAATGGTGTAGTTGGCTAGCGCTTAGGTCTCATAGCTACTGAGTAATTCTGATAGGACTGTTCAATATGGTAATACTGAACCGAACTGATATAGACAATATAGTTTGGATCTGGTATATACTATATAAACCGAATGAATATGATTTTATAAAAACCGTAGGATTTAAATATGGTTATGTTTATAACCGAATAAACCAAACAAAATCGAGTAAAAGTATATCTTAATAATTTTCTTTTCTTTTTGTTCAACTATTGGTTAGATTTGATTTGATTTTTCTTGATTTAAAAAATTGTAAAATTAGATGGTAGCATGAAATTTCTTTGGAAGAAACATGGAAGACAAGAAGAGTTGCAAAAAATTGAGTCATTGATCATTTTGTTTGTTATTCTTTGATATTTTATTATTTCTGAACACCAGATTTTTTTAAATAAATGTTAGTTTTGACAACATACCTCTTTAAAGTTCATATAATATGAAATCAAATCAAATAATAATGTTTTAAAGTATAAAACCAAATAAACCGAAAACTGGTAACATAAAAAACCAAACAAAACTAAATTAGAAATGGTTCTAATATGATAGCTAATTTTTATCAACAGAAATATCGACAAACCGAAAAAACAAACCAAAATCCAAAATGAAAATGCCTAAATCCAGAGGTCGAGAGTTCGAACCTCTCTCACCTCATTTCATTTTTTCTACTTGGCAGTTATGAACTTATGATACACTAATGCTCTTGATTTCTAGGTAACACTAATCTAAATAGTGCTTCAGCTGTATAAGAGGACAACATGAATAGATTCCAGACTGGACTTCTATATTTGCTTATTATCAACAAAAGAAATATATATATAAAGCTGTCTTAGCTAATTTGTTTTTTTTTTTTAACAAAAATTAGCTAATTTGTTGTTGTTGTAAAGTTTTGTTTTTGCTAATTGTAATATTACTATTTTTCCCATTTTCTACTTTTGATTTAATTTTAAGAAAAAATACAAATTATGACATAAATTTATTTAAAATGTCGATTTTAATTGTAATAAATAATATTTAATTTATAAAATTCAGGCTGGTTGTCCGACTAACACATGTAGTTTCGAATATTGATAATATGCATCAAAAAAGTTTTAAGTCATAAACTACTAAAATATTTTAGTGACTAAAAAGAATAAAAAATTGAAAATAAAAACACCATGAGAAGTGTTCCTCCTTATATTCTTTCTTGAAATGAAAATGGATTAATAAAATTTAGTAATTTACAAAAGGAATAATATCTTTTCTTAGATGAGAAGAATGCTCTATTTACATAGAAAAACAAACCTTCCTACTTTTAATATGTAAACACTTTTTTTCTTTCTGATTACATCACTAAGTGTGACATCATTCCAGTCTGTTAGAACATGAATTAAAAATAAATACGACGAATCGAATCTAAAGTTCATCTCATTTTTTCATTGATATAAGTAAGGTTCATCTTGATTTTTCCTTCTTACACTCTAAAAGATCTGATTCCAAATCTCAGGTCAAAAGACCTGAATTAACTTTTTTCTTTCATCTCATTTTTTTCCTATGGATAGGCCTAGACAGAATGATCACTTGGGTGTGAAAAAGATTAGGAAGAATATCAGAAAGAGTCCTCTCCACCTACCCAATTTCGCTGCCAATGCTAACTTAGGCGCGGCAGCGAGCCCTCAAGTGCAGCCTCAGGTTTATAACATTAGAAGGAACGACTTTAAGAGTATTGTTCAGCAGCTAACTGGCTGTTCAGCACATGAGAGTCTCCCTCGGCCTCCTCAGAACAACTCACCGAAGCCTCAGAATACTACTCGGTTGCAGAGGATTAGACCACCACCCTTAACGCAAATCAACCGGCCTGCGGTTCCTCTACAACACCATCATCCTCACAGCTTTATGAGACCGCCTCCAAACCAATCTCATCTGCCACAAGGCACGCAACAGCAACCAATGATGGGTCAAGGAGACCAGTTTTGGTCTACGACAGCTGAGTGTCCCATCTCAGAGTATATGCCTTATCATCAAAGTTCACTTGGAGATGAAGGTCCTAGTGGTAACCAGATGCAGCCATGTTTTGAACAGCAGCCTTATATGCCGGCTCATGAACATCGGCCATACATGCCAGGTCACGTACATCGGCCATGTATGCATGGTCACGTACATCGGCCATATATGCCAGGTCACGTACATCGGCCATATATGCATGGTCACGTACATCGGCCATATATGCCAGGTCACGAACAGTCTCAACCTCAGAATTATATGCCATATCAGCCTCAGCCTCAGCCTCAGCCTCAGCATCAGCATCAGCCCGAGCCATATATGATGCATGGATCACAACCTCAAATGAATATGCATGGGCCATTACAACCTAGTCAGTATCTACCACCACCTGCGTTAGTTCCTAGCTCAGTGCCTCGTAATCTTCCTCCCCCTCAGTTCAATGGTCATGTACCTGTGACATCCACTCTACCCTCTTCCATGTTCAATGGTCATGTACCTGTGACATCCACTCTACCCTCTCCAATGTTCAACCAGACTTATGGTGGTTTGCCTTCTCCTCGGTATGAAAATTTCGGACAACTAGACTCGCTTACGTCTCAGTTTGCTCTACCATCTCCTACCAGTTATCCGAACATGTTCTCCCCTAGATCACAAGGAGGATTTCAGTATCCTCAACCACTCACCCCAAACTTCTCATTTTCACAATTAGCTCAATCAGGAAGTCTTGGACCCGGTTCAGGTCCTCCTCAGCAGCCTCCATCTCCAGGGCTCGTGTTCCCGTTATCTCCAGGATTATTACCTGTCCCAAGTCCAAGATGGAATGATTACTAGGTGGTGCTTTCTTATCCGTAAATCTCATCATGTTTTTGTTTCAAGTCTGCATAAGTGTTAGTCTGTTCTATGAAAGAAGCTTAATCTTGAGAGTCTACACTAATAAGGATGATGACGGATAATTACTTTTCTTTTGTGTTTTCACAGAATATGCTGTATTTTGTGTTATTTGTACACATACTAGAGACAAATCTCTGTCAATTTATATGATTTTTGGCTGTTCTAAAACTTGTATCCCTGAATTTTTACTTTTAGAACTAGGTGTTTTGCCCGCACTTGCGGGCATAATTCTCTTATAAATATTTATTAGTTGATGTTTCATTAATTTAAAAATCAGCATAGTGTTATTATTTATGTTTTCGAAAAGTAAAAATCAAACATCAAATAATTATCAATGACTAAACTCAAACACCAGAAATATTTAAAAGAATATATTTCTATAACTATTTTTCTTGATTTATATTTAATTATAATATCTATATCTTAATTTCAAATTTTATATTAGAAAAACATATTTTCAGGATAAGAATATAATGCATAAGTTCTTTATTTTCTGAAAATATAATATGATATTTTTTAACTATATAATAATTATATAAGATTATAAAAATTATGACATATAATTAAAATTACCTAAAATCATTGAGAACTTAATGAATCAGAACCGGGCCTCGTGGTCTGGTGGTAAAGGAACCTCGGCTGAGGTGCCCGCCATCACGAGTTCGAGCCCCGGCCACAGCGGATTTAACATGGTTTCCGTTTGGCCTTCATGACCCCTTCGGGGAATAGTCGGGTCTCTAAATAAGCCCCGGACACCTGAGTTATCAAAAAAAGAAAAACTTAATGAATCAGCAAATTCACTTCTTAAATAATTTTTCTTGAGTGATGATTTATATTTAATTAATAATAGACAAGTTTTTCTATTTTACTTTTAAATTATATAATATAAAATATATTTTCAAGATAACAACATAATACATAAGAATTACCATATTCTCCAAAAGTATAATATTATTAGTGTAAATTTATTTCATTTATAGAATAATTACAACTTTTATATCTTAATTTTAAATCTATAATAGAAAAATATATTTTAAGACAGTAAACTAATAAATAAGAAGTATTTTATATTCTAAGAATCTGATACTAATATAAATTTGTTTTAAATATATAATAAATTATATAAATTGATAAATTATCAAAATTACCTAAAATCATGGAAATATGACAAATCAGCAAACATCAAATTCACTTCTTAAATAGTATTTATAGATTTTTACATGTTAATTTTAAATTTTATAATAGAAAAATATTTTTTTTCAAGATAACAGCATAATACATTAGAATTAACTTATTTTCTAAAATATCATATTATTAATATAAATTAGTTTTAATTATATAATCAATAATAAAAAAATTATAGAAATTCTGAGAAATGATCAAAATTACCTAGGATCAATGAGACAAATCAACAAATTCACTTTTCAAATAACTTTTTTGATGATTTATATTTAATTATGATTTATATTTAATTAATAATAATATACTTTTATCTTAATTTTAAGTTTTACATTAGGAAAATATATTTTCAACATAACAACATAATCCATAATGATTATCTTATTTTATAAAATATTAAATTATTATTATAAATTATTTTTAATTATATTTAAATATTAAATTATTAATATAGATTCATTTTAGATAAATATAATAGTGTTTATATCTTAATTTAAAATTTAAGTTTTATATATAAAAATATATTTCAAGATAACAACATAATTCACAAGAATTATCTTATTTACTAAAAATATAATATATTCATATAAATTCGTTTTATTTATTTATAAATAATATATTTATAAATATTAAAAATATGATAAATAAACAAAATTACCTAAACTTATGGATAACATGACAACTAAGCAAATTTACTTCTTAAATAATAGTATAGATGATTTATATTTAATTATTAATAATATACTTTTATCTTAATTTTGAGTTTTATATTAGGAAAATATATTTTCAACATAACAACATAATCCATAATGATTCTCTTATTTTATAAAAATATTAAATTATTATTATAAATTCTTTTTAATTATATTTAAATATTAAATTATTAATATATATTTGTTTTAGATAAATATAATAGTCTTTAGATCTTAATTTTAAATTTAAGTTTTTATGTATAAAAATATATTTCAAGATAACAACATAATTCACAAGAATTATCTTATTTACTAAAAATATAATATATTCATATAAATTCGTTTTATTTATAAATAAAATATATATAAATATTAAAATATGATAAATAAACAAAATTACCTAAACTTATGGAGAACATGACAACTAAGCAAATTTACTTCTTAAATAATAGTATAGATTCGTGAGGAAAAAAAAAGGGTGTGTCTTTCCACGGCTAAGGAATGTTAAATCACCGTGGCCAACGCGAATCTGCGGGTAAAATTCGTGAGGAATATAATTATAGTTGATATGTTCTTAGAAAGAAAAAGTATGACAACTTGAAATATATAAATAAAGAATTATTTGGATATAATTAAGAATATTCCGGCAATTTTTTAAGAAGGTGACAAAACAAAGAGTGATCAATACTACAGTAATATCATAAATTCGATAAAAACAAATAATGATCAAAATACTAATATACCAATACGATCAAAAGTTCAAAGGGAAAGAAGCTGCTTGAGAATTGGAGTCTAAAGCATGTTCTCTCTCCCCTGGACGTTTCTGATTCGGTCATTGCACCTCACCTCGGTATATATTCTATAGTCGTGAACCTCACAATCCTCCTCTGTCTCTCTGGAGTACGCGGAACTACTTCTCCGTTCACAAACAATTCACCTGCAATATAGCAAACAACACTCACCAAAGACTAGATCAGCTAATTAAAAAGAATCAGTTTGATACACATCAGCGAGAGAAGCATTTAACTAAGTTGAATCATTCATACACATGAACAAAGCATCCTAGAAATGATATTTGGAAAGATGTAGAAATTAGTGTTACCTCCGTAGTCTTTGTACTCTCGATCAATATAAGAGTCCGGAAGCACGTAGAGAACACCAGGTATTCCTACAAAACCCAAAATACATCAATTACACAAGCCTACATTATTTCCTTTTTTTTTTTTTTGAATGAATGTTAAATTTTATTCACCAAAAAGCCTTTTTACATCAAAGTGTAGACAAAATCACAAAATACAACTTCTCCAAACTACTGTCTTAGTGCCATATCTTACTAAGAAAACTACACTCTAGTGCCAAACCAATATTGAAAACCCACATTATCTCGCTCTCAAGTTGTGTCGGAAAAGAGACAATACCTTTAAGTCTATTCGATATCTCCTCATCGATCTCACAGCCAAAGGCAAAATACTTGTCGCAAGAAACATTGTAGATCTTCCTCTTAGCTTCTTCCTCACTGATAAAACAAAAAACAAACGTGTTACTTGCGGCACAAGGAATACGCAGAACGAAAAAAAAAGCTAACCTGCCGACAATTTTGGCTAGGGTTTTCACATAACAATCGATCGTTTTCTCTTTGTTAGCGTACTCTCGCCGGGCTTGTCTATGACGATGAGCCAATGCTTGTAGTCGCATCCAGAAGGTAGCGGCGGCATCTCAGTGGGTGGTTGGTCGCTGCATTTGTATCTGGACTTGCGGGGTGAATAGGATCTATGGGACCTAATAATCACCCGGGGCCGGATCTTCTGTGTCTTTAGGATTTCTTTCAGAAGGGTCGAATTGGGGGTGAATCCGACGGCGTGGAACAGAGTCGGTGAGGATCGATGGGAGATGAGGTTAGATTGAGAAGGAAGCGAAGGAGGAGGAGGAGGAGGAGGAGGAGCGGGGGCTTTGGAGGTGGAGAAGAAACGGTTAGCGACTCGCGAAGCGGTGGAGCGGGAGAGGGTTTTTGCCATTTGAGACTGGTGCGGTTTCTCTGGCGATGACGAGACCAGGGTTTAACGATCAACGATCGTCTGATATAAACATATTGGACTTGAGGTCTTGTTAATGGGCTTTATTTGAGGGAGCTATGAGAATTTTGTTAACAAGACACGTTTTAAGATTTTTCAGGTCATTGTGTCTCACGACTCTCACCTTTTCTTGTGTGATGATTTGTTTTGCTATCTGGTTAGAAATGTTCAATTCTTTTTTCTCAACATGTTCAATGTTATTACTACATAATTTCATTAATAAAAAATGCAGAGAGCAGAGAATTTAGTAAAATGGATCGTTGTCGAGTCTATAACGCACCCCTCTTTCTCTTTTACCATTATTTCATATTCATAAAGACTAGTTCTATCTCCTTCCTATTGTGGAGCCATAAGTGTAAGTCATCATATAACTTCGAGGGTTGTCGAGGCGACAGTTAGATTGGCGCCTTTCATCATGTTTACTATGCGCTTTCTTGTGTGTGAGTGTGTCCATCATGAATTGTCAGGTCCTTTCGATCGAGCTCACACCACTAATGAAATTTTCTTCTAGTGAGTTTAAGACACTTTTGAAAGAATGACATGGTTTTCGGACTGGACCAACTTGGAATTGTTGAGACCACCTCCAACAACTTTAGATTAACAACTCTCCTCTCTAATATGTTTGTCGGTTATTTAGCCGTATGATATGTGAAATACAATTCTTTACTTTTGCTTTTTGCTACAAGATTTTTATATGTTGAGTTTAAATTTACAAATAAGACCCTGTACAATGGGCATGTTAAATCCAACTTTCAACAATTGAATGTATATAGTGGACATGTTGAAAACCCAACAGTTGAATGTATATAATGTACATGTTGAAAACCCAAAAAGAAGGACGTGGATTGTTTTTGTTTCTTGTTGAAAGTGTTAGATGTGAGACCTATAAATGTTTATTTGCTTATTTTACATCCTAATTTATTTGAGATCAATTATTTTATATCAAATAATAATTTTTGTAGAAATAAATTAATTCAAAATTTATAATTTTTTGTTCTCTATTAATAGCGACTTGATTATTTGATTTGGATATTATAAAAAATCTGTTTTTATAATAATATTATCATATTTGTTTTAAAACAAATACGCTTTTGTGGACTCAAAAATAGTTTTGGGATAAAAAATAAATTACACTTTTATTTTTAGTTATTATAATTTAGAAAAATATTTTCAACTTTATTGTTCATAAAATATAATTATAAAACGGGTATGGGAGATAAAATAGTGACGTAAAATGATGAATTGTATTAGATAATAATGGGGATTTGCCAAATATAACTCAAAACTTGATTTTAAATGCAAAAGTGTATCCAAACTCAAATCAAATGCTAAATAACTCAAAAGGTTAGTGAAATTACAAACATCCCCTCATGAGCAAACAAAAAAAAACATGATTGTAGTTTACCATTATAACCTTGCGAGTGAGAAGACTTTGAGGTAAGTCTGAAATGTCAATAATCTCATGTTGTAGATCTTAAAAATAATTTACAAATTTAAGAAAAAATTGGTTAGTAAAAAATCATAATCATATAATTATTGACATTTATAAATGATGTAAATATAGTTTTAATAAAACTGAATAATTTTCAAGATATATGAGTGAATATAAATTTGTCATGTTTAGGGTTTGGTAACTATTTTGTAGTATTGTATGTGTTTTTAGGATTGGGTTGTAGAATCTTAACATTTTTTTTAAGTAAAATTTAGCTATATGTGTTTAGTTTTGTGTAGATTAAACATTTTATAAGTTTCATTTAGTTTGATAAAGTTTTTGTATGTGATTTAGTTATATATATTTGACTTCTTTGATTTTTGGGTTTTGGAAGACTTATGAAAACTTAATAACAGTTTCCCGCACAAAATTTAGCTTTCCCCCTTAAAATTCTAAAAAAATAGGTTTCTCGCTTAAAATTAAGTCTTACAATGTCTTCCAAAGTCTTCCACGAAAAGTCTTCTAAAGTCTTCCAAGGAAAGTTTTTTAGTGTAGTAGTTCTTAAAATAATTTATAAATTTCATAAAAAATATTTTGATTGAGAAAAATCATAATCATCTAGTTATAGACATTTGTAAGTGATATAAATTTAAACTTAATAAAATTGAATTTTTTTCAACATAGATGAGTGAATGTAACAAATCATGATATTCTTTGGTTAAGGGTTTGGTAACTATGTTATAGTATTGTATGTGTTTGTAGAGTTAAATTGTGGAATCTTAACATTTTTTATAAAAAATAGATTTTAGCTATATGTGTTTAGTTTTGAGTAGATTAAACATTTTATAAGTTTAAATTAAGTTTAATAAAGTCTTTGTATGTGATTTAGTTATATATATATATATATATATTTGATTTTGGGGTTTCGAAAGACTTACGAAGACTTAATAACTACTTTTCGCTCAAAATTTAGGTTTCCCGCTTAAAATTCTAAAAAAAGTAGTTTTCCCGCTTTAAATTAAGTCTTACAATGTTTTCTAAAGTCTTCCAGAGAAAGTCTTCTAAAGTCTTGCAAGAAAAGTCTGCTAGTGTATTACTTCTTAAAATAATTTATAAGTTTCATTAAAAAAATATTTTGATAGGAGAAAAATCATAATCATCTAATTATAGACATTTGTAAGTGATATAAAATTTAGACTTAAGATAATTAAATTTTTTTCAACATAGATGAGTGAATATAAGTTAGTCATGATAATCTAGAAGACTTAAGAAGACTTTGGAAGACCTACTGGAAAACCTTCGAAGACCTCGGAAGACATACTTAAAGTCTTCTAGTAAGTCTTCCAGAGTTAATACTTTGGAAGACATTCGAAGACCTCGGAAGACCTACTTAATATCTTTCAGTAGGTCTTCAAAAATCTTCATAATTCTTCCATAATTTACTATTTCTCGCTCAAATAGTAAGTCTTCTAAGCGAATAATAAGTCTTCAAAGTAAGTCTTTTTGGTGAATAGTCTTCTAAGGTCTTCTAAAGTCTCCTGTATCAAAAATATTTAACCTAATTGGATTTTTTGTCTTCCTATATAAATAAAAATTTACACATTCTCTTTCTTCATCTCAAATGGAGGCAACAAAAATGTAATATTTCTCACTCTAAAATGTTCTAGCCTCTCTCTAAACTATTTGAATTTGATAACACCAAACCTTATAACAATTTTTCTTATTTGTATGTGTTTCTCACTATTTTATCTTGTTTTTGCAGGTTTTTCATTACATAAATGTCATCTTTCACTCATTTAAAGGTAGATCTATAAATTTTATATATGTATTTTTGTGTTTTTTTATCTATTAGATTCTAATAAGTTATAGATTCAACATAATATGATTATTTTAGTTATTATTTAAGCTTAAAACATTGTTATTAAAGTTTTTTCTCTGTTTTGATGTCATTTGAACGTTTTTTGATATGCAGGTTTTTTCAGATTTGAGGCAGACATTGACTTATAGAAGACTTTTCTGGAAGTCTTCTGACGTTGTCTTAAGTCTTCTGACGTTGTCTTAAGTCTTCTGACGTCGTCTTAAGTCTTCTGTCATAGTCTTCTTCCATGTCTCCTCTTTCACAACAGATCTGAGCGTTTTGGTAAGTTTTCATGTCTGATGTTCTTCATTTAGTATTCTATTGTTACATAAAGTTCTTATCTTTTTTTCCAGACTAAAATTCTCTAACCTCTATTTGATCTATTTAAACATGAAAACACCAAAAATTATATCAATTTCTCAGTTTATGTGTTTCTCACTATTTTATCTTGTTTTTGCAGGTTTTTAATTACATAGTTGTCATCTTTCACTCATTTAAGGGTAGATCTATAAATTTTTTATATGTATTTTTGTGTTTTTTATATGTTAGATTCTAATAAGTTATAGATTCAACATAATGTGATTGTTTTAGATGTTATTTAAGCTTACACCATTGTTTTTTGATTTTTTCTCGGTTTTGATGTCATTTGGATGTTTTTGGATATGTAGATTTTTTTCAGATCTGAGATAGACATCGGAAGACTTATAGAAGACGTTCAGAAAACTTTCTTGGAAGTCTTCTGACGTTGTCTTAAGTCTTCTGACGTTGTCTTAATTCTTCTCACGTTGTCTTAAGTCTTCTGACGTCATCTTAAGTCTTTTGGCGTAGTCTTAAGTCTTCTGACGTAGTCTTAAGTTTTCTGACGTAATCTTAAGTCTTCTAGCGTAATCTTAAGTCTTCTTGAAAATATTCTCTCACATCAAGTGGAGTCCAAGATTGTCTTTGGGGAGGAATGATATATAAAGTTTTATTTGTGGTATGTTTTGTGATTTGTACTCTTTAGTTGTGATTTTTTTTTTTTTGTAAATTTGAAAAAATATTAATAAAAACATGGTAAATATGTTTATTATCAAAAATTACTTTACATTATTAAAGTAAACAAGATGTAAGATATGTGCTAGCAATGTGTTTTTCACTTTTACAAATCAAAGAAATGAAAAACTTCAGTGACCTTCAGATTCAAAACATGGTGTTCATTTTGTAGTTCTTCTAATCTTTGGATCTCTCATATTCTTAAAAAAATAATATAAATTTGTAACTATAAACAACTTCTTCTCATTAACTTACAATAGTTGTTCATCACTTTAAACTTCTAAGAAGTAAAACCAACAAAGTCTTGTAAGAAGTAAAACCAATAAATTTTATAATTATAAAAAAGTAAGATATAATGAGTTGGTTAACTCTTCCACCTTCATTTTCATGTACACATTCTATACTTCTTCAAATTATTTAACACTTTTGAAAGATAAAAAAACTTATTATAAATGAGTGAACATTCTTAAAAGTACAAGTTTACAAAAACTAATGGGGAAGACTTCTATCATTAGCTAGAAAGATTAAAAATTATGAATCTTGGTAACCTCAAAATTATCACCAATTAAGTGATGAATTTTATTCAGGACCCCAAATATTGTCTAAAACACATGAATTAACAATAAAATTTTAAAAAATCATTTTAAACTTGAAGAAAATGAAAGTATTATAGATAGTCGTAGAAGACTTACCTAGACGTCTTCCTAGAGAAGACTTTCAGGTAAGTCTTATGGCATAAGACTTCTAGGTAAGTTTTCCGTTTAGGTCATTTTTGCAATTGAAAATTTGCAAAGGAAAATTTTCAGAGAAGTCTTTTCTATAGGAGACTTCTATGGAAGTCTTCCTATGTAAATATTGGCTTACTTTTCTAATAAATAAATTCTCGAAAATACCTGAGAAGACTTACCTGGAAGTCTTCTCGGATAAACATGTTAGTTTTGCAATCGACCAATCTGTGTCATAAATTTGACTTTCTACGGAAGACTTCCAGGTAAGTCTTCTGCCGGAAGACTTACCTGGAAGTCTTCTCAACCTTTACATTAAGTTTACTGAAGTTTGCGTTGGTTAGTTTTGCAATTGAATATATTTTACTTTTATTGAGAAGACTTACATGTAAGTCTTCTTTGATTACCTTAGGTTTGACCAGAATCACGGAATAAAAATTTGGAAGACTTCCAGGTAAGTCTCCCAATTTAAATTAAATGTTTTAAGTTTAAATTTTCAATTGCAAAAGTAACCTACGCAAACTCCAATAGACTTAATGTAAATGTTAAGAAGACTTCCAGGTAGGTCTTCCGCCGTAGAAAGTCAAATTTCTGACACAGATTGGTCAACTAAAAAACTAACCTATGTATCCGAGAAGACTTCCAGGTAAATCTTCTCAAAAAAATTTTGCTAACAAAGAAAATTCAAAAGTTTCGACCACAGTCTTTTTAAAAAAATATGCAGAAAGTCAATTGAAAAACTAACATATTCTTTTGACCAGAAAACTTCTGTGGACTTCTTCTAGAATGAGAAGACTTACTTTGTAGTCTTCTAGAGAACAAATCTGAAAAAAAAAAAAAATTCATACGTTCAAACCCTGAGAAAACTTGCTTAGTTCTCCAAGCACACACAACTTCACTAGAACATCTACTGAATCGTTAATGACCAGAAATCGTGAGTTTGGATAGGTATATGACCTTCAATAACTTTAGAATCAAAAAGCTTGGATTTTTTTGGATGAATATAACTAGAAAGTGAGAGAGATGTAGTTTTTGGGCTTAAATTATGAGAATAAATGAGTAAATTTTTATTTGTATATGCATTAAAAGTTTCATTTTGGTTGTTCATCGTTGTTGGGTGAATTGATGGTAGTGATATTTTCGTGATTAATTGATGAAGATGATGATCAAAAAGTAAAACAATTTTTTTCAAAAAAATAAAAAAAATAAAAATAATGACATTTTTTGTAAATAATCAGAACTTATAGGATGGATTGGGCAAATGAAATGTCTAAAAAAGTTAATTTTGTGTTTGACTTGGAGTTTTGAGTCATTTTTGCAAAAAAAAAAACCCGATAATAATATTGTTAAATAAAAAAAAATTGAATGTGGAATAATAGGTGGAAAAAAGATGATGTAGAATATTAAAAGTATAAATTAGAGTGTTGAATAATTGTAACCATTGTAAATAGTCTAATATAGTAACGTAAGCATTTTTAAATTTCATTTATTAATTGAATCTATTAATAAAAAAATCATTTGGAACATTATTAATTGAATATATTAAAATAGTAAATGAAATTTATGAGACGACAGTTACCTCCTTTGGGAACAGATTCTGAGCCCGCCAAATGTTATCTCTACGTGTCAAAAACTTAATGGCTACAGAGATATGCTTCATCTAATTCAGATATCCTCCCAACCGTTCGATAAAAATCAAACGGACCAAACAAAACCTTATCTCCTCTCCAGCTTCAGATCCTGTCTAAATTCAAAGACACAAATCAGCAAAAGGAACACACACGCACAGAGGAAGTGAAAAGGCAAATGAAGAAGACAAAGTACGGAGATACATCACCTGCCAGAGATTTAGATTGAGTTTATTAGTCTCCCAGAACCTCGGCGAACCTACTATGGAGCTTCCATTACTCTCTTACAGCAACTCAGCCAAGTTTTCTCGGACAGGCTTATGCTCTTCCTCTTCCTCCTCCTCATCTAATACTAATGACTTCCTAGAGAAACGAAGGAGCTTGCGAATGAGATTCAATGGTGGACAAAAGCCAGGAAGCGTTAAAGCTTCCGCTGGACGAAGCAGCGAAGGGATCGAGAAGACAGACGGTGGAGGAGGAGGAGCAAGACAGTTCGCCGGTCCTTCCATGGAGGTCACTACACTTGATCGTGGCTTTGCTAACTCCACGACCGTTGATTTTCAGGTCTGGGACAAGATCGGCGCCGTTGTTAGACTTACTTACGGGATCGGTGGGTTTTATTACACATTAAATATCTTATGTTATTAATGTGTGACTTGAATTAATAATTATAACCCTAAGTATTTATTATATGAAATGTGTGTTTGGATGATTAGGAATATATGGAGCAATGGCTGTAGCAGGAAGGTTCATATGTTCAGTGACTGGGGTTGACTCATCTGGTGGGTTTGATCCTTCTCTTGATGCACTTCTAGCTGGACTTGGCTATGCTACACCACCTATCATGGCTCTTCTCTTTATACTCGATGTGAGGATTATTAACCTCTTATGATTAATCTACTGTTTGTTTGAATTGGTTTTAAGCATTTTATTTATCCGTATATTAGGATGAAGTTGTGAAACTTTCACCACACGCAAGGGCTATTAGAGATGTGGAAGATGAGGAACTAAGAAGTTTCTTCTTTGGAATGTCGCCATGGCAGGTGCAAAGTTTGAGCTTTTGTTTCTTGTTTTTGGAATATTTCAATCTTTGAGTCTTGGTATTTTTTTTGAGGTTTTAATTTGTGGTTATGTGTTTTCAGTTTATACTTATTGTTGTGGCCAGTTCCATAGGAGAAGAGCTCTTTTACCGTGTTGCTGTACAGGTAATTTACTAAGTCCTAGAATCATTAATCACTTTGATTGAATTATTGCTGATCAAATCTCTGATTCTCACAGGGTGCTCTGTCTGATATGTTCTTGAGAGGAACACAACTGATGACAGATTCTAGAGGCATGGCAGCTCTGGTAAAACAAACTTACATTTTTATACATGCATATAAATTCTTCATGGATTTTCTATAATGTTGCTGTTGTTGTTAACCTCTAGACCGGGGTCTTTCCTCCATTTGTACCATTTGCTCAAGCGTTTGCAGCTGTGATCACAGCGACACTCACAGGCTCCCTCTACTTTTTTGCTGCTTCTCCAAAAGGTTAGTATTTGAACTCTTAATCTTCTAGTTTCTCAGTTGAGTCTCTGTCCATTCTCATCCTTGTTTTCACTTTCAGACCCGATATACATTGTTGCCCCGGTTCTAAGGTCACGCCGCGATGATTTTAAGAAGCTTTTGTCAGGTACTAGCTTCTTCTTTCTTCTTCGGATCATATGAAATAGGGTTTAAATCAACAAAGAGTTGGTCTAGTGGCTAAATGTTTTGGATTATCAAATAGGGGTCTAAGGAGTGATATTGTTCTCCTAAAGGAGAGTTAGTTTAAAATGATTTGGACCTCATCCTAGGGAATATAGGAACCTTCAAGGCCAAAATCTCTAGGCATTCAAAAAAAAAAAAGATAGGGTTTAGACAGGATAGCTTGGGGAACAAGAAAATGTAAACTGGTTTTGTACAAGAGAGAATAGGGTTTGGTTTTCATACTATTTGAACCGCTGGTTTTGACATCTTTCTTTGTGCACAGCTTGGTACGAGAAGAGACAGATGAAGAAGATTTACTCTCCCCTCCTTGAAGGACTCTTAGCTCTCTACCTTGGTATTGAATGGGTTCAGGTAAAATCTCCGGTTCGGTTTAGTAATAATTCTTCTGGTTGAAGTTGATTAGCGCTATACCAAAAATCTAACACTTTGACCAATTTTAAAATATTACATGCCTCATTTGTTTTTGTAATTTCCAGACGGATAATATTTTGGCGCCCATGATGACCCATGGTATATACTCGGCGGTAATATTAGGGCATGGGCTGTGTAAAATTCACGATCACCGTAGAAGATTACGTCGGAGAATTGAACGAATTAATTCGGAGAGTGGAGACCACTGATGAGCAGCTTTAAATCATCTATAGATTTTTAATTGGTTGGGGTGGATTTGTGTATATTGTTTTGGTATGGGGTCGTATAGTAATTAGAAAAGTTAGGTAGGGCCTCTTCCATAAAATTTAAACAGATGCTGCATTATACAGTCGAGAACTCACTATATATATATATGTATATACACATAAGCTTGTATTTGTTAGGTTTAAGAACAATCTCTCTTAAGCTTTCTTTATCTTCAACTCATGTTTGTTTGAATAGAAAAAAGCAAGAAATCAGATGGGAGAGTGAGGGAGACTGAAGAACAGAACAAGAGTGCAGGAACACTGATAAGTTTGAGATAGTAACTTCTTTCCCTCGCTTATCTAAAAGAATAATCTATACTATTATTTGCGAAGTGATTTTTCGCGACGGAGCTCCCACGTTAAAAGTTGGAGTGGTTAATATCGTTTATACCCTTAATGAATAAATATATAAATCAGCCCAAAATAAAAAACGAATTTATATTTTTTGATTAGATAAATGATTTAAATTAGTAATAATGATAAGAATTATCCATAATCTAGATATATATTTAAAAATAAATAAAAATATAATTCTTATATATATTGTGTTGTTATCAGAAAAATATATTTAATTAATATATAATCAACCATAAATTAGAAACAAATTTCACTGACTTGATGACTATTATTATCTAAAAATAGTTGATATTAATAAACCATAAATTAAAACTGAATTAATATATAAGTAACAATAAATTAATTATATTTAAAAAATGATTTTGCTGATTTATCATATTCTCCATAATTTTATGTAGTTATACTTATTTATCATGTTTTTATGATTTTGACTAATAATTAATTATTACCCTTAATTAATGACTAAATAAAATTATTATTATATAATTATGAACCGTGTATTAATTAGATTTATTACCCTTAATGACAAAGCAAAACATAAACTTAATGACTAATTGGATTTATTACTATATAATGACTAATTAGATCTATTACTATATAATAATTATAAACAAATCTTATTTGTCATGTTTCTTATGATGTGATGATTATCATTATCTAGACTAATGATTATAATAAATCTAATTATTCATTATATAGTAATAAATCTAATTAGTCATTAAGTTTATGTTTGCTTCGCCATTAAGGATAGTAAATCTAATTGTCTTGTTCTTATGATTTTTACTACCCTTAATGACAAAGCAAACATAAATTTAATGACTAATTAGATTTATTATTATATAATGACTAATTGTTATTACTATTTGACCAAAAAAAAGATTTATTACTATATAATAATTAAAATTTTCAATATATACTTAAACATAAGTTAAAAACGAGTTTCAATGGTTTTAGATTTATCTTTATCTAAAACTATTTTATATTGGGTCATAAAATCTTTATTAACCTTGAAATATAATTATATTTTTAGTAATATATCATTAATTATAAATTAAAAACGAATTTCATTTATTTGATAATCATCCTTATATTTATTTTTTTATATTATGTCTTTATCAACATTGAAAAATAATTATATTAAAATAATAATATTTATTAATATATAATTAATTCTAAATTAAAAACGAATTTCATGAATTTCATGAATTTGATAATTATCATTATCTAATTTTTTTATATTGTGTTATAAGTCTTTGTTAACCTTGAAAAATAATTATATTTGTTAATATATATGTAATTATGAAAAAATTAATTCGCAAAGAATTTATGTATAGATAATTTACATTACTAAAGATAGTTTACATTACTAAAGATAATTTTTTTATACTTTTTTGTTATGTCTAAAATTGATATTAATTTATTAATTAATATTTTAAATTTATAAGTATTTTCACATTTAATTTGTGTAATGACAATTATTTTTATAATGATGAAAAATTTTACATATAGAAAGAATTTGTTTAGATTATTATTAAATATTTTGAGTGCATAAACAATAATTTATTATAATTTACTTAAATTGATTGTATTTTTTTATAGATATTAGAAAATTATTAAGCCCGCAAATGCGGGCAAAACACCTAGTCTATACTATTATTTGTGAAGTGATTTTTCGCAACAGAGCTCCCACGTTAAAAGTTAGAGCGTTTAATATCGTTTATGCCCTTAATGAATAAATTATATGAATTAATTAAATATAAAAACGAATGTAAATTTATTTAATTAGATAAGTTATTTTAAATAATAACAATAAGAGTTATCCAAAATCTAAAAATACATTTTATTTTTAAAAGATAATTCCTATAAATATTGTATTGTTATCCGAAAACTATCTTTTGATAAAATATTTAAAAATTCAAAAGTAGAAAACAAATAATTACATAATAATTAATTAAATTCTTAATTTTATATAATCTATACTATTATTTGCGAAGTGGTTTTTCGCAACGGAGCTCCCACGTTAAAAGTTAGAGCGGTTAATATCGTTTATACCCTTAATGAATAAATTATATGAATTAATAAAATATAAAAACCAATTTAAATTTATTTAATTAGATAACTTATTTTAAATAATAACAATAAGAGTTATCTAAAATCTAAAAATACATTTTATTCTTAAAAGATAATTCCTATATATATTGTATTGTTATCCGAAAACTATCTTTTGATAAAATATTTAAAAATTCAAAAGTAGAAAACAAATAATTACATATTAATTAATTAAAATTCTTAATTTTATATAATTGAAAAGATAATATTGAATAATTTTTAAGATAAATAAAAAATTTCAAAATGAAAACACAAATAATATTTTATGCTTATAATTATTTGTTAGTAAATACTATTATTTACCAAGTGATTTTTCGCAATGGAGCTCCCACGTTAAAAGTTAGAGCGGTTAATATCGTTTATGCCCTTAATGAATAAATTATATGAATTAATTAAATATAAAAACGAATTTAAATTTATTTAATTAGATAAGTTATTTTAAATAATAACAATAAGAGTTATCCAAAATCTAAAAATACATTTTATTTTTAAAAGATAATTCCTATATATATTGTATTCTTATCCGAAAACTATATTTTGATAAATATTTAAAAATTCAAAAGCAGAAAACAAATAATTACATATTAATTAATTAAAATTCTTAATTTTTTATAATTGAAAAGATAATATTGAATAATTTTTAAGATAAATAAAAAATTCAAAATGAAAACACAAATAATAATTTATGCTTCTAATTTTTTATTATTAATATATATACTAACAAATAATTATAAAAGGCTTAAGCCCGCATGACGGGCAAAACACCTAGTGTTGAATTGATATATGAGATTCCAGATTACAATTGTGAAATCTTCAAGGTTCGTCGAATCACACACAGGGCCGGCCCATTCCCACCAAATGCCCCATTCCAATTAAAAAATTGGGCCCTTTTCCTTTGTAAATTTTTTTTTTTTTCTTTTTTTTTAGATTTCAGTCTAAATTGGCTTCAAAATGTTTTGGGCTCTAAGCAAAGGCTTCTTTTGCCTGTGCCCTGGGTCGGGCCTGATCACACATGATCTCAACTCACCTCACACGAGTCCTTGAGAAGAGAATCGCCTCAAGACCTTAATCTCACTAGCTAGTTCTCAATCATAAACTGGATAAAAGATTACAACAAAATTGTTCTAGTTATTTAAATCTCCCACATAACTGACAAACTTCTAAATGAAGTAGAGTCTCTCCTTTCTTTATTCTTCTTCTCAATCTTCTGACTTAGACAGATTCTTTAGAAGTTTCCGTTTTTTCTTCTTCAGTCCTTCCTCCAACGGCTTCAAGACTCTCTTCCCACACTTCTTCTTCGAGTAATACATCTGCATAGGTGTATCAATACCCCCCCCCCTTTCAACAATAAGCTTGTCCTTAAGCTTAAAGAGTGGAAACTCTCGCTTGAACTCCTTAGCCAATACCCACAAATTTGCATGCTCTGGTAGTTTAGCCCAACGCACCAAGAACTCTAGACCCCCTGTAGCATTGTACCGAGTGGCCAAAATCTCAGCTGGTTCAATCACACTTCATTCAAGTCATCGCAAACCAGTGGCAAAGACGACACAACATGATGCTCACCTAAAACTTTCTTCAACTGTGACACATGAAAGACTGAATGTATTTTGGATTCCACCAGTAAACGTAATATGTGTGTTGCTTTACCAATCTTCTCTAGTACTTCATATGGCTCAAAATATTTTGCAAAAAGCTTTTGACACACACGTTTCACTACCGAGTGCTGTCTATATAGACGAAGCTTCAAGAACACCCATGTACCAAACTCAAATTCCACATCCCTTCGGTGCTTATTTGCGTTATTTTTCATTAACTGTTGTGCCTTCATCAAATGTTCCTTCACTGAACGTAATACCACATCCCTCTGTTTCATCATCTCTTCCAACTCGTAATTGTCTGTTGAACCATCTTCATAACGGAGTATTGCTGGTGGATCCCGACCATATAACACCTTAAAAGGAGCCATCTTGAGAGAGGAGTGGGGTGAAGTGTTATACCACAACTCTGCCCACGACAAGAACCTAAACCATTGACGAGGATGGCTCGATGTGAAGCAACGCAGGTAGGCTTCTAAACAGCGGTTAATCACCTCTTTCTGACCATTGGTTTGAGGGTGAAACGCTGTACTATACTTCAACTCCGTACCTGATAACTTGAAAATCTTCTTCCAGAACACACTGAGGAAGATTCGATCCCTGTCTGAAACTATAGACCGAGGGTACTCGTGCAGGCGGATGATCTCTGTGACAAATTTGCAAGCTACAACCAAGGCTGTAAATGGATGACTTAAACCCACAAAATTAGCATAAATTGACAGACGGTCCACCACCACAAGTATCACATTGTTCCCTCCAGAAGTCGGAAGACCCTCAACAAAATCCATCGACAAGTCCTCCCACACATCCATTGGAATCGGTAAAGGCTGCCACAATCGTGCCGGAGAAAGAGTTGAAGTCTTGTGTGTTTGACATACTTTACACTCTGCTACATAACGTTGAACCTCTTTGAATAACCCCTCCCAATGAGACATTCGTTGTATCCTCTTTATTGTATTCAAGACCCCCAAATTCCCACCAACAACACCATCATGATTCTCCTGCAATATGATAGGTATGAACTTAGATGTCTTAGGAAGGACGAGTCTCCTCTTATCCCATAATCTCCCTGATGCTACTGAATACAACGGATACTCAATTCCATTCTCCTGAACACTGTGTAGTATACGTCGAATATGAGGATCTTTATCGATCTCCTGATACAGATCTTGGAGTTGAATCACTGATGCAAAGTGATAGCCAGCAAGAGAATATAATTCAGTGACTCCAATGAAGATCCCATTCTACTTAACCCATCAAAAACTTTG